AACTCCTAATTCCTCTTGCATTTGTAGATCTGGAATTAACAAAGGATGAATTAGTTTCTAATTTTCAGCCCCGAACAAATCCCTTCGAATGTCTTGTAAATCCACAGAACTGGCAATGTACAAAGGAAAGAAAAGCAGACTGACAGAGATGAATTTATCTTACAGTTATGAGCTGTTGACTTGGTAAACGCACAAAGTTATTCCAATGAACACAGCTAAGAGTGGAAACAATTGCTTTCCAGTCTCTCATGAGCTAAGCACTTCAGCAACAGCCATGTTACAACATCAATCCACCCGTAACAGCCGCCTCCTGTGGCTCTGGTTTGGGAAAGCACCAAAGCTCAAACCCTACAGCTCATTTATGTTCACCACAGTCCTTAGCAGGGGCATTCTCAAGGCGTTGGCTCACTGATGGTGCAGATCATGACGGACTGGAGAAAAAGTGCACAATGTGCCAGAAGGAGATGGGAGACAGAATGGGACCCAGTAACCACTCAGACTGCGCGTGCTGTTAAGCCTGTATTCCCCACTACCTTCCAGGATGCTCTTCATCAACCAGTGCAACAACAGCACATAATCTAGATCTGCACATTTATTTTTGGGGCATCCTCAGTGTTTGTAACACGATGCAAAGACATGTGAAACGGGAGGCAGAAGAGTCATAAGATGCCGTCTCAAGGGGCCCTTCCTGAGTGTCCTTCTGACCTGCAGTTATCCCCGGAGATGCTCAGCTCTTGGTGGGCCAGCAGACCCGTCTCGGCACTGACTCTGCATCCTGACAGGCTGTAGCTGAGGCAGGGGACACTTCAGGAGCTCTTCTCTGCAGACTGGGTCGTAAATTGTGATGATGGGGGTGTGGGGGGGGTGTGCGCGCATGCTGTGTGGGAATCTCTCCTGCCATCCAAACTCATTTTGAAGCTAACAAAAAATTATGCAAAAAAGACAACAGATATCTACCCAAGCCTCCTCCTCTGCCCAGCTCTGAGATGTTTCGTCCTACCCCGTGCCTGTCTCTTTTATCATTTAATGCAGATGCCTATTCTCCCCGCCTGCATTTTTGTGGTTTCTGGACAGATTCTACTGAGTGGTTGTGTCGATGATTTATTTAGACTCTCAGACCCACGACTAAGTGGCGCTTTCTACAGTTTAGAAATTCTAGAACTCGAAGTTCTCTCCTAATCTACCTAAAAACTTTCAAGGAACACTTGAATCTTCAACATGGCTTAGGTATCTTATTTTTCTATGTGTCATCTTACAAGGTGCTTGGCTGTTACTACAGTTAGTGATATTCTAAACCTTATGCATGCCCTTCTAGTCTGTACAGCTCCATTCACTTTGATGAAGCTATGCTGATTCACACCCACTGAAGTTCTTGCCCATGGCTGAGTTTTGATGTATACATTTTAAGCTTAAATTAAAAGATGGCTTCACCCTCAGTTGCTAGCCTGTGATGCTTTATAAATACTGTGCCTGGACAGTAATGAAAAGATTCAAGTGGTGCACTTTTTTATGCTGATATGGTACAAACCACATCCATAGACACAATTGCAAGAGGAAAAAAAAAAATCTGAACAGAAAAGAAAAACCCCCACTCTTGGCATCTGAAACAGATTTCCAACCCCCTTCCCCCAGCTCCCCCATGCTTCCCTCGGGCTCTCTGAGAAATAACAGATGCAAACGGGTTACTTTTGAAAGCACAGCATTTCCTCCCCAGCTGATGCGGTGCGAAAATCCATCTGAAGCCCAGCAGACATACCCACGAGCGAGTCGCCTCTGAGCTTTGCCAAGAATGATACGTTTCACCATACTCCGCTGTAAAGAGGAAACCAGACAACCACCTACTGGCTGCATCGCAGAGTGGAGAAACCCTTGTTTCTCCAGACTGCAGAATACCAATTAAACACATCTCAAGCCATCTATTCCCTGTAGGAGCTTAATGCCCTGCAAAGTTAGCTTTGCTTCTTCCCCTAGAAGGACGATCCCCACCCTGGCCCCATCAGGTGGAGTGATTTCTCTCCCTGTCTTTGTTTCTGTGGCTGGCAAGTCAGAGCTGAAGTAAAATCAGTCTGCTGTCTGATGAGTTTTTGATGAAAGTCAAGGCTGAAGCACTGCATTTCTTGATTTATTTAGCATTCAGACATCCCCTGCGTCTTTCATTTCTACACCTCAGCCTCTGGCAGTTTGAGAGTGCGGCTGCTTTCTCTGTAAGCTAAGAAAAGACCTCGTGCCAGGTTCAGATATGCCTCTGGTAAAAGGATAGTCTGTCTCCAAATGACACTTTCGGGCTGCATATCTGTATTCCTTTAGTGATTTGCATGTCATGTTTATGTACTTAACTTGCCCAGATATATGCTGGCTTTTTGTCTGCTTGTTTTTCCTGTGGTTCTTGCTGTCAGCACTTCCAGTTCAGGTTATAAAACTTGAGCAGCTTTCTGTTTGTTTCATGCATCGTCACTAAAAGCAGATAACAGCTCATTTCAGCCAGTGTAGTATCTGCCACCAGACATTCAGAAGGGAGCAGACACAAGGAAATGAAATCAGCTTTCATGTGTTCCTCTCACAGACCCTATAAAATTCAACTGCCAAAACTGGAAAAGAATTAATCCTAAAACCTCTTTGTCTAGACTGAGAAACTACGGCATAAAGGAGACAAAGGAAAAAATCAGCGAGTCTCCCTTTGCCCAACCCACAGTTCAGTGGCCACATACCACTGGGAATAAAAACATGCTCTCGCTTCAGGGACAACACGTCCACCCAGCAGATTTCTCCGTGATCCCCGAAAGAGTGAAATGCCAACTGCTGTGCCATCCTTCACCACCCAGCAAAGCCTCCGTGCAACTCCCCAGAGCTGCTAAGGAAACGTAGCTGTCCAGGCATGGTGTTTACAAAGAAACTCGCTTTGCTGTGGCCCCCTGGTCTTGTACAGTTGTTCCAGTCCACAGAAAGTAACAGGGAGGAGGAGAGGCTAACATGGCGCTGGTTTCCAGCCCCAGGTCCAGCAGCTGGCTCGTTACGAGGCATGCTAATCCAGATGCAAGGCTGAACTTGTGTCCCAAGCCTCCCAGAGCCCCCGCGCACCCTGACCATCTGCTACGCAGCATGTCAAATCGGAGTCAAACTCCCACACAAAATAATCACACAGACACTTGTCAAAATAAAGGCAGAAGAACCTTTACCGAGGCATTATCTCTTGACTTTATCTGAGTAACTGGCTACTGTCCCAAGCCTGGAAAGCACCAACAGTGTTAATTACCATGAAAACAGGACCAACACCTAAGAGACACTTTTCTGTTTAATACATGAACTTCTTTTTCCCTCTGGACAACCCACAGTAGGCATAGGGTTGCAACGTTAAGTTTTGCTCCACCTTATTATTTTCAGCATTAGGCAAACCTCACTGTTCTCTATGTTCCACTCTGTATTCCAAAACTTGGATATAGAAGTATCCAAATTGGAAACACCATACAACCCAGTTTCCCAGAATGTCTTGGTTTCAGGACAGCTGAGTGGGGGAGCATGTTATTCACCCTGATGTCCTGTCCCCAGAGGGAGTTCAGAAGTGAACCTTTCATCACGCGCTCACACGACCACTGCTGTAACGCAGCGATCTCAGGGAATTAAAAGGCAACATTGGGTGTCTTCGTTACAGGGTTGTGTCCACAGCAGCGTGAAATGTGCAGGTACTTTTTACACAACATAAACGTAATAGTTTACACACACACACGACTGAGCTGGCCATATTTTTAGCATGAACGTTGGTAATCTATATTCTTTTTCCCCATTCTGCCTCTTTGTTTCTAAAGAAAATATGATTTCTTTCAGGTTGTAAATGCTTTTATAACTCTAAAATTAGTAAAATGGACCGCTTCATCCTGTAAGCTAGAGCAACAGTTCTTCCAAACAGAAAGACAAACAAATTGCTTGGACATAATTTTGGCTTTTAATGCCATCTGTGTTAGCATTTCTGCATTGCCCAAATAAGAGCGAAGACTGTCCCAGCTCTGGCCACAGCACTGCTTGGTAGGACATCAAGCAGGGACTCTTCAGAGGAAGGTACAAACATCATACCTTAGGAAGATTTATGATACTTCCCATCCAATCTTTCCTCAGTTTCCAAAAGCTTCTGCTTAGCTTAAAAGCCTACATGTTTACTGTCCTTTCCAAAGTTTGGTAAGTTCTGCCTGTAGCAACAGGGGATTTCTCGCTACCCTACACACGTTAAGTCTTTAGCAGAGAGCAGTCCTCATGACAATGCGCTTCATTGCATAACTCCACAAGGTATGAAACGATATCCTTTTTTTCCCCAGCTTTTAATTGCATCAATGGGTCCCTGAATTTTTTCTTTCAAGCAGTGAGAACAGAAAATCCTGATCTGCCTTCTTACACATTCACCTTTTCTTATTTTAGATGCATTGTCCAGTTTATAGACTTCAAGCCCTGTTCCTCAATATTCAAACCCTGCAGCAAGAAAAGCAGTTAAGTCTAATATCTGCCCCTTCCCATCACCTTTAACTTGAGGTGGATTTACCAGGTTGGAGGCTGCAACCCTCAGTAACATCACCCAACACAACGTACATGTCACGTAAAACAATGCCAGAAAAGGTCACGGTGCTGCGCAATCCTGCTAACGTCTATCTAGGTTGAATTCGAACATGCTCGAATTAAACCAAATCTCTAATTTGCAGGTACTGACGAAGACTAAGTAAGCAGCAACTGCTGAGGCTCTGGCTGAAACATACCTATGGCATGGAGTGCAAACTCTTCTTTCAAGTTTTTCAACTGATCTCAGTGAGGGACTGTTAGTTTTCAGGTGGCATAATATTTTTCTGAAGATTGTCCTGGCCCCTGAGTTTTAACATCACTTAAACAACCAGTGTACGTGGACAACAGAAGCAGCATTTGCAAGGCAACGCAAAATGGGTCCCATCCCCTACGTATCCCAAAGGTGCCCACGTAAGACTAAATCGCGTAGAGATCAACACAAAGAGTGGAATCCTTACCTGCCCCCCTTTGGGCTGGTATTTGATGTTATCCGTTGATCCAATTTTGGACCTGACGTTCTTGAGGTCGGGTAGAGGCTGATTAATAACTCGTAGCTGCTTCGGAGTGGCTGGAGATTTAGGAGGAGTGCGAATTATGGCCACTTTTTTCTCGGTAGGTACCAGTATGGCAGATTTGGGGGTCCCAGGAGTGTGTGGGGTTCTGGAGTAGCTGGGTGTCCCTGGAGTGCCTGGGGTACGGGAGGCATAGCTTGGTGGTGTCCCTGGAGTGATGGCAGTGGAGCCAGGAGTAGTAGGGGTAGAAGTTCCGCTTTTTCCTGTTCTGCTACGAATTGGCTCTGATCCTATATGCAAGAAAAAAACCACCAGCATTAGACACACAGAAATACAGATCTTCTTCCCTCCGCACCTCCCAAGACTGCATCCCTGTGTGCCAAGCGATATACAGCTCTAAGACGGCTGTGCCAGTGCTGGAACAGCTGGATGTCTGTCCCTGAGTCTTATTTTGCCAATCGACCCGCCAGCAGTCACCTTGTCCTGTGTGGCGGAGCTGGCTAACCGGCCACGTAGGCGACGGCGCTCTCGGCTCTGTAACACAGGTGGGCTGCCCACAACACCCGTGTTTCCTGCAAAGCTCTCTGAACAAGGCACAACATCACATCCACGGCCACCTTGGGGAAAGGACTAGCAGCACCCATGGAATCCAACCTTTAGGACTGGATCCGGCAACCTGACTATAGCCAGTAAGAATGTCACCAATTCCAATGGATCTGGATGTTTTAGAAGTGATGGAGTCACGATCCCTAGAGGGATTTAAGAGACGAGTTGCCGTAGTGCTTAGGGACATGGTTTAGGGTAGACTTGGGTTGACGGTCAGACTTAATGATCTTAAAGGTCTTTTCCAACCAGAACAATTCTATGATTCTAAGTACCGTAGCATTTTGCAGCGGCTCCGTTCAGTGTTTATAGCATTGCCAGTCCTTTTCACTCAGCACAAGCACCAGTTAAGCAGTGGCATCGTGCTTTCTGCGGCCAGCCCTGCTGGTAACTCTCAAATGCAAACGAACAGAAGCCGAGCTATCTCCAAATGATGCTGAAAGGAAGGCTTTGCTGAGAATACTCAGGGAGAGAAAGACCACACCAACCCCACCAAGCCTGAGAATCCCAATGCCGAATGGGTGCATACTTGTTTTACCTTTAAAATGTTCAGGAATTATAAATCCAATGGGCTTCTCTAGAACATTCAGGGGACTGATCCAAATCGTATTTAAACTACTTGTTAATCATTCGGTTCATGCAATGGTGGTGGAAGAGACTGCTGCCCCTGGGGTCCAAGAGAAACTCGCTCTACGTGACTCATCAGAGAGACTGAACATACTCCACTCTCACCTCCACTTTCCCTGACTGCTTTCTTTCTTTCCAAACCAAGCCTGAACCAGAACCTTCTCACTCTACCAACCGAGACAGAAAGGGAATGATTTTTTAATTCCTTGCCCCTGTACCACACTGGCAAATGCTCAATGGCCTCTCACTCCTAGGCAGCGGAACGGGCTGCTGTGCCAGCTGGGGGTCACTCTGCTCACAAAGGGTCTCTGTTTTACCCTTGGAGAATCACCCAAGAATTTCAAAGGACTTTTTTTTTTTTTTTTTGGTAGAATTTAATTATCTACTTCCCTCAAGCTGCCTTAAAAAGGGATGAGATTGGTTTGTAAAGAGAGAAACCAGAGGAATTCCTATTGGAAAGCAAGGAGCAACATCCAGGTTCTGAGGCCTGGGCTGAATGCAAGTCTATCTAAAATTTCTGGGGTTATTTGGTAAAATTCTCTTCGCCCTGTAATTTCTTTTGACTTGTGATATAACAACATTGGTCTTCATGAAAGGACCTTGGCGGTTTACTAGGTTTACTATCCCAACTTCCCCCAGCAAGTCACTCTGCTAACATCTCAACTCTCAGCAGAGTTTTTACCCTAGGATTAGAGCAGAGAGATCATTGCTGTGAAACAGCAAGTCAGCTATAACATTAGGTTCACTTTTCCAAGATCCATCAAAATATTTTACATTGCCCACTTCAGGTTTGTGTCATTTTTCTCGCTGCTGTTTCAGAGTGCCCTGTATGAAATATCTCAGCCAGTTCTGAGATCAGACTGAACAGCAGCGCTAGCCCTGGGCATTGCAGACCATGGAAAGGGTGCATCCCGCCCCTGGTTTCAAGCCCCTGCGGCTCAGCACTTCATAGCTGAACAGAAACAGCCTGCGGGGCTCCGATTTCCAACTGTGTACCCCACACCTACCCCTCTGTGTTGACGCTACGGCAACAGATCGAAGGAGGGAGGGAGACATTCACTGCGGTAGGAGAGGGTCAGTATGCAAAAAAACATACGGGTGGTCCGTCGTACTGAGGAGGATAGGGAAGCTGTGAGGGAGAGAGAGTTCTCCTCTCTGTCTCGGTCTCCTGATACACCTCTTCGAGGAGGAAGGATAGAGGAAGGTCTTGGTAGAGAGGAACGCTTTTCGGGACTCTTGCTTACGCCATCCTAATAGCAGCAAAACAAAAAAGGAAAGTTTAGTTTGCAAAGCTCACTCTCTGGGCTGTGATTTCTCTCAACCTATTTACAGAGAGGGAAACCTCATCCTATGGGCCCAGTTCACTACTCACACAGGAGGCTGTGGGGATCCAGCCACCTCCCATACTCTGCTTAGCTTCCTGGTGCTTCTTTACTGCACCAAAACACTCACTAGTCCTCTTCAGGGCTACTTAAGACAGATACAGATGCTCTTGTGTCTAAATACGGATGGATTTCGTCATTTGGTCCTTAATAAGGAACGAGCTTTTTTTAGTGCAAGTTGAAAGTAAACAAATTCTCTGGAGCTCAGGAGTGAAATTCTTATGTAAATTTACCTGCAAAGTAACCGCAGTACTGGTGCCCAGAACACACCCCACACTGTATTGTTAGGTGATGTGTGACTTTTGCATTTTCAAACACTAACTTGTAGTTTTTTTTCACAGAGAAAAATTCTTAGCTACAGCTTATTTTTTGAATGCAGGACTATTAATGCTGGTGTCTTCTCTTATTTCCTTCCATACTTATCTATTTACTTTTTGACATCAGCAGATACCTTCTTTTCACCAGGGTTAGAGCAAGGGGCATGTATGTTGGAATATTTTTTAACTTCTGCGATGGGCAGCCCAAGACAGTCTTGCATAAGTAGACAGTCCTCCCAAAGGCAGGGAGGTGACGGTCCCAACCAGTAAAAGACACAACAAGCACAGTGTTAACACAGAAAATGGAAGTTAATAGTGAAAACCGCTTTTAAATGGGGATAGTCATCAACTCAGCATGAAGTAGATTGGAAACACAAATGATATGCAAACGTGGGGAAGCTAGGATGGACTGCCAAACATCTCTTTAAATTTAAACTGCAACTTCTTCACCACAGTCCCATGCATAGACCAAATTAGGTTCCTAGAGCATTTGGCTTCCGCCCTTACTGATGGTGACTAGAACTCTACCCTCCTACACTGGGGATGGAATTTGTTTTCAGAGAATATTAACTGGTTGACAACTACATTTTTTTAAACTTGGAAGGCAAATTAGTACTGCTGTTCTTTGCCACTTACCCACGTGCAAATGGGTGCAACTTCTTAGCAGTCAATGAAGCAGCATCCGTATCATCAACAGGAAGAAGATATGTCCTTCTAGTTATAACTTATTTCACTTGTGTTTCCTCTGGAGAATCTCCTTTGTTTTTATCCATTTTGTAGCACAAACCTGGTAGCCTAACAATCAGTTTTCCTGCCACTGGTTGTGAGTAATCCCATGTAAGCTTCACAGAGAATTACTCTAAATCAGTGGGGAGAGAACGTGATTCACGGAATTCACCTACACATCTCCAAGCTAACTCTCTCTACCAACTCTGCTACCTTACCTTAGCATCTGATTTTGAGTAGGGCAAGCAGTCTCTTGGGCCTGCTGAGGAGGGCCGTACATAGTAACTGTCTGTATCGAGAAAAGTGGCCCTTTTAGTAGTTAATGAGCAAGCTGAGCTGGGTCTTGGAGGAAGCAATGACTTTGCTCTAGACTTTGAGGCAGGAATCTTTGACAAAGAAGCAGTCTAGTCATGAGAAAACAAACAAAAGAAAACACAACATGAAGCTGGACAAAAGGAAAACACATGCAACATGGACCAAAAAAGAAAAAAAAAAAAAGCCAAGCCATGAATTAATACTTTTCCTGTGTCTGGTAATGGTGTCTATGCAGTTCTGACATGCATCAAGGTTTTAGTCCGGTGGTGTTTGACTGAAACCACCTGGGTCTGGATGGTTAGTGCTTCTAGGAAGTGTCTTCTTCTGCAGAGGCTATTTTTGTCTTGTGTTAACAGGACAAAACTGGCGCCAGGTATGGGATTTGACTGGTACAACTGCTGGTTGGCTGCCTTAGAAGCAAGCGGAAAACTACAGGAGCACCAAGAGATCCTAGTCCTTTAAAACTAAGTTGGGCATTTGAAATATATCCCTCCAGGCTACAGTCAAGAATAAAAGAGTGGGAATCGTAAAGGGCAGAATGACATGACAGTATTGCTTCTTGTGCCACTGTGTACACACAAAATCCCTAACGAACCCCGAACACTGTATTCTGTGCATTCGGTGTCTCTATAGAGTGACAATGAGGAGTCCTGGGATGAGGAAACCTGCATAGGGTTGAAAGGCTGACATGATACGTCACTGTGATCAGATACTTGTCTGATTCTGAATGACGGTAATACCCCATGGAAGAACAATCAAACATCCATAGGACAGACTGAAAATTCTTTGCTGACACTTAGAAGCACCTCCCACGGGTACAGTTGATACTACAAAGAACAACTGAAAGGCTGTTATCTTGCGATGTAGGCCTGATTCTCTCTGTATCCATACAAGCATGAAGTTACACATAGGACCAGTCCCAATGGGCCTGTAATTATGGGATTTGATACAGAACTATAGCAATGAAACAATTTGGCATTCATTCTAGGTCAATCACCTAATCTCTGTTGATGTTCGGAAAAGGTGTCCGAGTTACTCCCGAAGCTGTCTTTGTTGGAAAATGAGAAAAGAACGGGTTGCCAACTCTACCGACAGGCTTAGGCTACATACCCAGCCTACAGAAAACTGAGGCTGGTGTACTGGAAGTCATCCTTGGCATCATCAACACGATTAAGAGTTGCAGAACAAACAACAATTCCAGTCCTACAACACAGCTGAGAAGCCTGCTATTGGACGCCATCATCCATACCAAGTAGCTCTACTGAGCAAGACAAGACACTAGTTCAAAGGATGGAAGTGCTTCACTAGCAAGGATATATTCAAGAATGATTTTTGCAACATATTTACATACTTCTTTTAATACTTCACTGCCTGAGAATACACAGAACAAAATCAGTAAATCATTATTATTAACAGAAACTGAACAATAAGTGTTTGTCACATCAAAGGCTGTTCTGAACTTCTATTTGTCACAGTTCAATTTATGGGTTAATTTAAGGCTGGTAGAGTGAGCAAAGAAACCAAATGTCTCAATCCCTGCCTGTGCTTTACCCAGAAAACTATTCTTATTCTCTGTTAGCAATACACTGCCTTTGACCTCCGTTGTAATTCGTGTTGCTGGAAGTACCAGCTGACCACAGGACAAAGATCCTGTGACCAAGACCCAGGGATTGCTGAAGTTGGGATGCAGAAACCTCACTTTATTTCAGAGGTGTTCCTAGCAGAGGATGGATGTTCTCAGCATCTCGCTACCGCAGGTACACAGCTCCTTCCAGCAGATGGAACTGCTTAGCCTTTCCTGAACTTGTTCTCCAAAGCAGTATGTAAACTGTAGTCTGAAGATGGATAACAAAACTGACCGGGCTGGAGGATCTAACATTACCAGGAGAAAGGAAAAGGCTACACTTGAAGCTGAAAACCAGGAAGAAACTCAGTAACAAAAAGCTTTTGTAAAAGCAGAGGTGAAGCCGAGGCACAGAAAACTTCCAAGAGATGCGCAAGGGCAGCAATCAGAGAAGGGGGGCAACAGGGAGAGAAAGTCAGCAGGGGCCAGACTTTGCCATAGCGTAAGGGCCAGGAGTAGGAAAGGTGCATGGAAAGAGGGTAATTTCAGAGTATGATTTTGCAGTGCTTGTACTTAGAGCGCTCCATCAACACAGATGACTCTGAAAACAGGCCAGCGTTGACTTCTTTTGCGCAAGTGTTGATCACCCCCCAAAAAAAGACAGTAGGAAACCACACTGTTGACTCACACCAGAAACCCGTCCAGATATTTCTTACTGTACTAGTAAAGAAGCTCTAGCAGTTTCCCAGTTACGAGCAGAAATGGGCCAGTCATGGAAAACCATGTGAAGTCCCAGAATCCATGGCTGAATTCAGATCTAAATTTCACAGCTCCTCCAAAGCCTCCAATCAGTCAGGATGCTGTCATCAGTCATGATGCTGTCATCATTAACAATTTCTTACGATTGATAAACAGCGTGCAGCACTGTATGAGACAGAGGTTTTTGCTCCCCAAAGAACTGATGATCTGGTTAGACAGATGAAACAAATCAGCCAAGGAATATATTAGGAAATTTAGAGGAATCCTAAGCAACTTCTTAATTGCCATTGATGGCTAAGAGTGACAAAGTACTGTCATGCTGCAGATGTGAATTAGCATGTGTCAGTGTCATGCAAAAAACCAGTTGCACGAGATGGCGAAATGAGGTTGGTTTCCGGGGGACTGTGCAGTGGTGGGCCAGGAAGAGCGCAGGGTCAGCACAGGCGCAGGGCAGAGAAGCACTGCAGAATTTGCTGAAGGAAACTCAGCAGAGGAGAGCCAGCAGGACAGGCTGCAGTGCAGCTGAAGGCAGGGCACCTAACTGTCAAGTTAACACACGGACAGAATCAGCGGTCCAGGAAACGGCCATTCAGACAGGCACGACCCCTGCAGAATGCACGGCTGTGTACGTCATGGTGCATCGGAAGGCATCCAGTGGGATGACCTGGCTCAAAATGCTGAACAACCACCAACTCCTGCAGTTTGGAGTCTGTGTGACCCCCACGGATCTGCAAACTGTCATCATCTGCTACCCAGGACTGGAACTCAGAGGTTATTCAGGAAAGGTGGGTTTTATTACCCTTTTAAATGAATAATGAATATGGCAAACAAATTCTAAATGGAACACAAATTTTAAATGGAACACACACTTACTGAACTAACACAAAAAGATCAGACATAAGAACTTTATAAAGAAGAATGATAAGATGATTTTACTCACTGAGAGTTTTTCCTTTGCTTGTTTAAATACACCAGGAGCCTGGTTGGCTTCACCACCTGCTGCTGAGAGACCCAAAGAAAGACTTGACAGTTAAAACCAAAAATAATAAGCATTTCCACTTGGTACACATATTAGAACAGTCAAAAAGCCTTGCAACTACCGTGCAAAGCACTTACTTTGTGAATTACTATCAGTGAACTGTATGCAGAAACATACCTGCCTTCGAAAGGTCCTATATTTATCATACTTGAGGTAAAATCACATTCTACACATTTCAAACAACTTGAAAATTTGCATTCATGTTCCTAGACGTCTAGAAACTACAGCAGAAAGTTCAAGAAACAGTTGACAGCTCTAAGAGGCTCTAGTTCTGAAGGTCAAGCCTCAAATACCTTACCATCTCAATTTTCAGTGCTGCCCCCTAAAAATCAGGCTTCTTTAAGTAAACCAAAAGGGAAATTTTTAAGAGAGGTCCCTGAAATGACCACTTTTCAAAATATTCGCCAAATTCCTAACAAAGAGAGATTTACTGTTGAATTATCATCCTAGTTGCGTCAACAAGGTCAGTGTGCCATGGATCAACGAAGCCCTCAGACTTTAGCAATTCAAATTATATCTGGGATATCAAATATGTTAAGTCAGTATTTCCTTTATCTGACACCCCATGGTTTGAGGTAAGATTGGTCTCTCTGATGTGGGTTCCATCCTTACAAAAAGTTTTGGAACCAGGCAGCTTTTCAGAAAGCAGCTCACTAGTTTCACCCCATCGCTGATGTTCAGGAAGCCATTTGCCACACAAAAACCAGATGTGAAATCTTCTGGCGTCTGCCAGGATGCCCTTAGGAAATGCGGAAGCAGGACAGTGGCCACAGATGACACCCTTCTGCTGTAAACCCAGCTGTCTTCTGGCTGTAAAACCAACCCTAGCACATCATACAGGACAGAAGTGACCGATTTTCTCCTTTCCCTGTGCAGTCCTGAGACGTGGTGAGGAGATCCCTGGTTTTCTGCCGCATTTCCCACTCTAGTTCTGCCCTCTTAATATAATTTCATTGCTGTTTGGTTTTGATTTTGTTTTGTTTTTTTTAATTGAAGGAGTAGGAGGGAAAATTTGTGAGGAGGAAGAGAATATATAACTGCATATTTTAGTTCTTCTGAATTTGTAACAGGGTTAAGTACAGCACAGCCCTTGTGCATCACATTTTACCACATCTGCTACGGTTGGGTTTGGCGTGTTTTGCACCTCTTCTGAATAATCACAACTAGCTTCTTCCCTCCTTCCCTTGGTATTGAGCCCTAACCAGCCACCACTACCAAGTGGAAAGAAGGGCTGTGCTGCTTTGTGCTGACTTACCCAAAAGCACCACATCTCCACCCGCACCAAAGATCTCTACGGGCTCTGCGGCCAGTTTACATACACGACAAACGTGTTTTGCCTCAGGGGCTGACCCCAGAGTTGAAGGCAAGGAGCAGAAGCGTAACACTGACTCCTGCTCATAGCCAGGTAATGGTCCTGGCCTTGCCACCGTGAACACCCCTCTGATGGTGCGATGGAGGTGGCGTCTCGCCGCCGCTAACAAAACATGAGTGGGATTGAGGTGTCACTCCCAAAGTCAAGGCAAAGACTTCACAAGCCTTTCCTCAGAATGGGCCACACAGTTTCTTTTTCAAATGGCAAGGATGAATCTCTTAAAAAGCACTCCCACCCTTGTGGATCCGGCACTGGAAGTCATAGAATCATAGAATGGTTTGGGTTGGAAGGAACCTTAAAGATCATCCAGTTCCAACCCCCCTGCCATGGGCAGGGACACCTTCCACTAGACCAGGTTGCTCCAAGCCTCATCCAGCCTGGCCTTGAAGACATCCAGGGATGGGGCATCCACAACATCTCTGGGCAACCTGTTCCAGTCACCAGTATTTGCCAGAGGCATGGGAATTTTTTTTCTGGTACTGAGGAGAAAATAGGGGAAAGATGTCATTTCCCAGGCCATTACACAGAAAATATGATCAAATATTAACGTTTTTTTGGAGACGCTTAGACATGTTCCATTTTAAAGTCACGGTACATACGACACAGAGTTTTTATCTGACTGCAATACACTCCAAGTTCCATAGGACCACACTGCCGAGGGACGTTTGGTGGGGCTCCACCGGCCAGGTACCACTAAAGCTGACAAGACCATTCTAAATAGGACATGCTGACAGTCAAAAGCGGCTTCAAGAACCGGTGCTGTATTTTATGTAAAAGGAAGAAGGGAGGAAGAGACAATGTCCCTCTAAATTCCAGACCCCGGAGAGAGCTGGATGTTCAGGCTCAGGGACATGTAGGTTAACATATGGCTGCCTACACTCCGAGTGCAGTGCTGTGTGATACCCTTCCACATGGCCTCCCCTCAAGTCCCATCAGTACGTATAAAAAAGGTGAAGTAGAAGAAAATAAGAGACCCTGTGCATTTTCCAGCAACGCTGTGTGCAGTCAAACACTCCAAGAGATATTTGTGTTCGCTTTGTGGTGTGGTTCAAGCTACTCTGCTCTAGAGCCCGAACCTCAAGGTTTGACCCACATTACTGCCATTACTGGTCCATTATTTTGGTCACTCTCCATCTCAGAATTTCAATTTCATTTCTGTATTACATTTTTCACTTGGACTAAGACATCTGCTTCACTAGGTGTTAGAGCGAGAGTGACCAAGCTCTGTCCATGGCCAGGCAGCACACATTTAAGGCACTGGGCAGATTTCCTTATGTGAGCCTATCCATATGACTCCAGCCTCTCCGGGACCAGTACCTGAGGGCAAGACAGCACTGACCACATGGCTGCAGAAGTGCAGACAAAGTTGAGATCACTACAAGCTGACATTTATTTTCCTCATTTCGAGCACTTGTTGAACCCCCTGGGTCTTTTGAAAGGATGTGTGAATTACGGGTCATAACTTTGGAGCTGATGGAGCCATGCTTCAGCAAACAGCAAGAGGTAGCAAGAAGAGTTCTTTTAACCCTTTTTTAAAACTCCTCACTGTTGGGTGCTTTTGGTCCTGACTGAAAGTTAGGATGGCCTAGAGGCTGTGAACTGATGAGGAGCCATCACTGCAACACAGAGAGGCCCTGGATCAGCCTTTTCTTCCCTGGCTCCATTCCTCATGAGGAGGGGAAAGTAAATCATAGAATCATAGAAT